AAAGTAATGGACCTCGAATTTTCAAGTTGAGGAAGGAACTCATGAATTTAGTTCAAGGCCAAAACACCATGAGTGCCTACTTCACCAAACTCAAATCAATATGGGAAGAATTGAGTAATTTTCAACCCAATTGTAGCTGTGTACGTGTGATGGTGTTAAGGAATTGAACAAACATTACCAGATGAAATATATTCTGTCTTTTCTCATGGGATTGAATGAATCATTTTCCCAAGCTCGAGGTCAAATACTTCTTATGGATCCACTACCACCTGTGAATACAATGTTTGCATTAATTTCACAAGAGGAGAATTAAAGAAGCTTGGCTCACTGTCAATTGGTGCTGATTCGAATGGAGAAACTGGTATTGGATTCAAGTCCGATAATGGCAAAGGAGTACTGTCTTCTAGACATGTGGCTGTTAATTACATGAATGGCACCAAGATAAGGGAAAGACCATACTGTACACATTGCCAATATCATGGACATTCTGTGGATAAATGCTATAAAGTTCATGGTTATCCACCGGGTTATAAATCAAGGCCAAAAGACAATTTTCAAAGCTTTCATAAAACTACTCATGTTAATCACTTCTCTGCTTCTTTGACTCCGCAGATTGAGAAAAAATCAATGGATCAGCATTGTCAGCAGTCTGGCATTGGGAAATTTATGCAGAATTTGAACTCTAGTCAATATCAGCAATTGATGACGATGTTATCCACTCATCTGTCTTCTAGTTCAAACTGCAATTCTGCTGATCATGACAAAAATGTATCCTCATATACTGCAGGTATATGCCATTCTCGTTCAATTAATCCAACTTTTACTTCCAAAAACGTTTGGATTGTGGATTCTGGAGCATCTAAACATGTGTGCTTCATTACTGATGCTTTTGTTAATTTGAGAGTTATTCATGATTCAAGCAATACTTTGCCTGATCACTCTCGGATACCTGTCAATTTGTGTGGTGACATCCGTTTAGGCCCCAACCTGATGCTCCATGATGTCCTCTTTATGCCACATTTCAAGTTTAATTTAATCTCAGTCAGTGCCTTAACTGTTGGATTACAACTCACTGTGAGTTTCTTTCATGATCAATTCACAATTCAAGAGACTTCAACCAAGCGAATGATTGGCATGGGTGATAAGGTTCATGATCTATATGTACTGGATACCAGGGGATCTCAATTTCATTTTTGATGTTTTTATTGATAGTGTTTCTGCTCATGTATGGCATAATCGCCTTGGGCATCTATCGTTCAAAAGACTAGATGCATTGAAGGATCATTTACTATGTGATACAACCAAGTTAAATAAAAATCTGTCTTGTTATATATGTCCTCTTGCTAAGCAAAGACGGTTATCTTTTGAATCCAACAATCACCTCTCTAGTAGACCTTTTGATCTAGTACATTGTGACATATGGGGCCCTTATCATATTCCATCACATTCCGGATATAGATACTTCTTAAATCTAGTTGATGATTGCTCTAGATTCACATGGCTATATATGTTGCAGCATAAGTCTGATGCCAAGACTGTTGTACCTCTATTTTTTAATCTGGTTGCCACCCAATACAATGCTGTCATTAAAATTTTTAGATCAGATAATGCTCCTGAACTGTCTTTCAAAGATTATTTCGCCACAAAAGGTGTGGTTCATCAGTTTAGCTGCGTAGAAAGACCACAACGGAATTCGGTAGTCGAACGCAAACACTAACACCTTTTAAATGTTGCACGTGCTCTATTTTTCCAATCAAGAATTCCTCTTAAATTCTAGTCCAAGTGTGTGTTAACAGTTGCCTACTTAATCAACATGACTCTATCTCCTATCTTACAACATAAAACACCATATGAAATTTTACATGGTCATTTAGCTGATTACTCAATCCTCAAAGTATTTGGTTGTTTGGTTTTTGCCTCCTCACTTACTGCTCACAGAAACAAATTTCAACCTCGTGCTAACTTATGTGTCTTTTTGGGTTATCCATCTGGTGTTAAAGGTTTTAAACTCCTCGATATGGCATCAAAACATATCTTCATTTCAAGAGATGTTGTTTTTCATGAAAATATCTCCCCTTTCCATACAATCCTGGAAGCTGATCATTTGATGGATCATTTTCCTGACTTGGTTTTACCATCTGCTTCTTTATCCATTCCTTTCAATTTACCTCCACCTACTGGAATCTCAGATACTATTCTTCCTCCAGACGACCCTCTTCCTACAGCCCCTCCAAAAACCAACCTTCGAAGGTCCAGCAGAATTCCCAGACATCCCACTTACCTTAGAGACTTTCATTGTCATTTACATACTCACTGCGATCAATCTAATCATTACTCCCCTCATCACATAAAACATTTTGTTTCTTATGAGCATCTATCTCCTTCCCATCTAAATTTCATCTTAAATATATCTTCCAAATTCGAACCACAATTTTTCATCGGGCTGTTAAAATTCCTCATTGGAGAGATGCTATGAAACTTGAGCTAAAAGCTATGGAACTTAACCACACCCGGTCAGTTGTTCCTTTACCACCTGGCATGCATTCAGTTGGTTGTCGATGGATTTTTAAAAATGAATATAATTCTGATGGCTCCCTTGAGAGACACAAAGCACGACTTGTTGCGAAAGGTTATACCCAACAAGAGAGACTCGACTATTTTGACACCTTTTCACCCGTGGCCAAAATAGTGACAGTTAAAATTTTGCTTACCCTTGCAGCATGCCATAAGTGGCATTTGGTACAATTAGATGTTAACAACGCCTTCTTGAATGGGGACTTGTTTGAAGAGGTTTATATGGATCTCCCATTTGGCTATGAATTCCATAAACCGGTTCCACAGGGGGAGAAAATGGTATATCGATTACACAAGTCTATCTATAGCCTCAAGCTGGCCTCCAGACAGTGGAACTCCAAATTTTCTCATACTCTCATTCAACATGGCTTTACTCAGTCTAAATCGGATTACTCACTTTTCACCAAATGCTCAGAGGAAATGTTTGTAGCCATGTTAGTTTATGTGGATGCCATTGTAATTATAGGACCTAACATTGCTGTCATTTATTAATTTAAAGATTTNCTTTTAGTAATAACTTGTACAATTTGTGATTAGCCAACCAAGGGCAAAGCTAGCGAAGAAACTATCCTGTAATCATAGGCAGGCAATTTTCAGTGAAAAATTGCACCATATTGACAAAATAATGTTCTATGCACATGTTGACTACACAGAAATGGCAAAATTTGCATAAGTATAGTATTGTACTTCACACCTCCAATCAGTTCAACTAAAAATGTAATCCTATTCAATGAGAAGAATCCATCCCAAAACCCGACAAATACAACCCAATTGACGATTCCAGTTCCATGGGGTTTTAAATAATCAGCATCTATAATGTTGAGAGATAAGTGATTACTAGAATGATGCCAATCTTATACTAACTTGCAACTTTCCAGTCAGTAACACAGGCTTCAAAGAGTCATACATTCCAAAGTACAAACCACGGTATACGATGATACCAACACAAGATATGTTGAATCCACGATAAAGACTGGCAATGCCATCAGATTTCAGGGTCTTTCTGTAGACATCAACCAAACCATCAAACTGCCTCCCACCTCCTCCCTTCTTTGCGGCCTTGGCATCATTTGCAAGTCGGGTACGAGCATAGTCCAAGTAGTAGACAAAGAATAGGGATGAAGCACCAGCAACACCACCAGATGCAAGGTTACCTTCAAATCATTTCCAGTAGCCATCGCGGTCCTTCTTGAAGTTGAAAAGCCTTTTGAAGTAGTCCTTAAATGCAAAGTTCAAGGCCTATGGAACAAGAACAGTAATTAGTATAAAATGCATAAAAGCAGACAAACACACGCAAAATTCAATGTATCTTGGAAACAGGAGATATGTAAACCTGAGTGGGGAAGTAACGAATGACATTAGCAGTGTTTTCTCTCCACAGTGATCCAAAACCTTCATCCTGAATTGTTCTCTAGAAACAATCACCAATTCCATCGTATGGTTCAGAGAGCCTGCCGGTCTTAATCATTTCATCTTGATTTTGGATCAAAAGTTTCACACGTTCAATAGGGGCGGCAGCAGTTTTTGACACAGCAGCCGAAACTCCACCCATGAGAAAGTCGATGGCAAAGCCTTTTTCTGACGGAGCCTGCACAAACATTGGTGAAACATTTGCAGAAATCACTGCCAGATCCTTGGTGGCTCTGCAAGTCGTAGGATACTTCAGTCCCGAAATTTGTCTGATTGCCATACGTAAATTGCCTCCGATGCACAGAGGGTCGTTGAAAGCCTCCATTGTGAGCTTGAACATCCGGGGAGAGACTAGATCGCAGATATAGCTGGTTGGGTACCTTCTGAACAATAGTTGGGTGCTGGTATTGATCTTCCATTATGACCTAGAATAAAATTCCCGCAAACACAAAATTGGTGATCAAGAATAAAATAAAAAGATTGAAAAGGGACTTGGCTACTGCAACATGGATTACATTTCAATTGTTTTCAGCCACAAGCTTCTACCAAAAATGTTGAGAACTCCTTCAACTAATAGAAGACAAATAAATCACAAGAAGGCACCATACAATTGTTAAGACTAGAAAAACACGCATGAAAAGTAGTACCAGCAATGCAACTTAGACGACTACCAAACATGGTGTAGGTTCAATAGTTAACACTTGAATAAAAAATTAACTATTATCTCCCTCGTTATAAAATTATGAATGACGGTGTTTATACACAAGGTACACTGTACTAACATAGCCAAAATACATTAACAAAAGACTTTGATTCTTGAAATGGACACACGTAAAAACCAAACAGCATGCAGCATTCATTCGTGAAAAAAGAATTATGATCATGTGACAGATTTTTTAGATGTTTAATAGCATAAACAAGAACCAGATTTTTCACGCAGATTGATATTAACAGAAGTGACCCTATAATCAAAGACAAAGATGGACCCACTCACTTAGTGAATTCTATCTGCTGTCTATAACTTCATCGATTATGGAGTCAGTAAGTTCAGAGAATTTTTCAGGACCTAGACAGTTCAGCAACAGATCTGCCATTGATGAACCTTCCAGTCCATATTTTCTTCATCATTCCGACAATCTTGGCTTGATGCTAATATCTCAGTAGCTCACGGGAGAAAACTACGCCTCTTGGAGCCGAGCAATGCCTATTGCTTTGTCAGTCAAAAATAAACTCATTTTTATTGATGGATCTTTGCAGAAACCAGAAGCTATAGATCCATATCTGGTGAATTCATGGATTCGAAATAATAACATGGTGATCTCTTGGATACTATATTCTGTTTCAAAAGACATATCAGCTAGCGTGATCTATGCTTCTACAGCTCATGAGATTTGGAATGATCTCAAGGAGAGGTTTCAACAAAGTAATGGACCTCGAATTTTCAA